CTCACGATCACGGCCCGTGAGCGTGAGTGAGCGTGAATCACGTGAAACATGATTCACTTTAGCGACACTAATCTGGATAACTGGGTTATTATTATAGCTGTGCTTTCATTGATGGGGTAATAATAGCTGAATAATCCCTGTAATTCATTATACATAACAAATCAAATAAAACAAATATATATTTGAGACATATAAAGAAAAATAACAAAATTAATAACAATTTGTAATGTATTTCAATTCAATAAGTTATTGACCGATCATTCAAACGGAAAATTTTTGCAAATGTATTGACTATTTATTGAGACTCAATAAGTATGGGATTAAATGACTATAAATTTTGCATATAATTTGAATGTAAACCTGAAATATTTGAATAAAAACTATGTAAAAATATATACCTTTGAAACAATATTTTAATTCTCGCTCTCAATAAAGTGAAAACTGAAGCGAAACCCAATGAAAGCCTGTGGTAAAAATATTAGTGCATATATTAACAACAATACTCGCATTTAAATAAGTATTATTCAAATTAATGCTAAATTTATAACTAAAAAATCAGTTGAAATAAAAATAACAATTTGAAAAAAATCGGTCGTTTGTTTGGACGCCTATTAAACGGCAAACAAGAGTATACAAGAGCTGAGCCGTGAGAGCACCGGTACTCCCCATCGATGGCAACTCAGGTCCCGTCGGCTGCGGCCCGAAGACTCAAAAAGGACTACAAAGAGCTACTTCGAGAGCCCGTGCCCTTCATTACTGCCCATCCCTTGGAGAACAACATACTTGAGTGGCATTACGTGCTGAAAGGGCCGCCCGACAGCCCCTACGCCGACGGCATATACCACGGATTGGCCAAATTCCCGGCCGACTTCCCGTACAAACCGCCCTCTATTCGCATGTATACACCGAACGGGCGTTTTGTGCCAAATCAGTCCATCTGTCTGTCGATGAGTGAGTTTCATCCGGAAAGCTGGTCACCCCTCTGGACAGTGGGCGCCGTATTGAACGGTTTGCTCAGCTTTATGCTGACCAACGACAGGGCCAGCGGTTGTATGACTACCAGTGATCAGCAAAAGCGTGTACTCGCCCGACAGTCCTGGAGATATAACAGACAAAACCCCGTATTCTGTCAATTGTTCCCCGATTTGGCCGAAGAGGCGAAGACTAAGCCCTAGAGATATAGAGAGAGGTTTGGTCTGAGGTTTGAGTGAATTATTTTTACGCCTAAAAAACAATAGGTTTTGTATTTGTGTTTCAAATACCAAACAAATGTGTTGTAAATAAAATGGTTTTGATTTAATTTATTGTATTTACTGTAAAATTATTAATTAATTTTAATCAAACTCTTAACCAGTGTTTGCGATAGTAATTGAAATATTTGTGAATTTTTATAATTTGTTATAAACTTTATTTTCAATACAAAAAAACAAATTTGTATACAAAAAATTAGGACAAATTCATTATTAATTTCGCATATATTTTGTTGAGTGAAAAACAATTTACTGATTGTTTTATAAATAAGAAAATTATATAACATTTAAATATATGTGAAAACAAAGGGATAGAGAAATACCGACTCATTTAGGAAGACATCAATTATTATCAATAATTAAAGACATTAAGAAATATACAAAATTATGAGAAAAAATATCACAAATAACTTCACTATAAAAATCAATTAATAAACAAACAATTCAATCAGTTTTGTGTGCCGTTTAACAAAACATTAAGTTTTTCCAGTAATATATAAAACACAATTAAAATTGTAATATAAAAACAATTATAAAATAATTCACATTTAATTAATTAGTAATTAATTCATATGGCATTCAATCAAATAATGATATTAATAACGATTATGGGATAAAATCTATATAAATGATAATTATTTAACAAAAATAAATCATAACTTTTATAACACACAGAATAACACCATTGGGTTTGTGTTTACAGAATATTCTTGTCTACAGAATATTCTGGAGGAATAGCAGCGGTAGTAGTGGTCAAGCATTCGGCGCAGGTATACAGTGAACGGGGAAACCGAAAAACTAACACATTTTTAAAATGGTAATCATTACAAAAAACAATTGAGATACAAAAACACTAGAAAATTTTCATCATGGTAAAATAAAAAACAACTAAACAAAAACTAAATCTATGTAAAAAACAAGTGGCAATTATTGGCCGCAAATGACTTGATGTGATGGCAGGCAATACTGTTTGCGATCATCAAAACGTGTGCCGCGCGGACACACATACGTGTCGATCGTGTATTGCGTGCACTGGAAGTACAGCTGACAGTCTTTGCGGACGTCGGCCACCGCTCCGGACACTTTGTTTTGGCACACAATCTCTCCGTAATCGTAGTCTTCGTCTGTCATCTGAATGTCTTTGTCGTAATCCAACTGATAGTTTACGTTTACCGTCGACTCCACCCCTGTCTGAGTGGGCGACGACAGGTCGGCCGCAGTGGCGTAACCGTCGTTATTATTGTAGGGCTGGTGGGGGTGAAAGTGATCGGAGGGAAAGTGTACTGTTTGTTGCAGTGGCGGACTCTGTATGGGTTGTGGTGGGGGCGGAGGGGGCTGTGTGTGCGGCACCGGTGGCCGGTATGCCTGCATTTTGGGGAACTCCAAGAAGTAGGCGTTTGTGATCCGCTTCTGCGAGAAGTCCGTGTTATGGCTCAACACTTTCAGCAAAATGTCGGTCAGTTTGGGATCAATTGGCTTAATGATGGCGCCCGGGATGGACGCGATCTCCTCCAGGCTCTTGGCTTTGGTGATGTCTTCGCCCACATTCTCCACCTCAACCGCCTTTACGCCCATGTCTTCCATATCTTCCGCAGTGAACCCGTTGTCCAGCAGCTGATCCGCAGCCGACGACGTGATCACGTGATTGTCAAACTGTGAATCGGGTCGTCGTTTGAAGACCAGATTCTCGGACTCGTATTTGTCGGCGATTTGTTTGTTTTGGATCCGTTGCTGTTTCGACAAGTAGTCCATCGCGCGTCCGGTGCGCCGCCTGTCGATCACCACCGATGACTTGCTTAGGTCCAGATTTCGGAGCGCTTCCAGTGTCACCGATTCGGCACTTTTCATGTCGCTGTCTTCAGCGGACGTACGGTTGCCATCAGTGGTGTTATCGCCGGCATCGGGAGTCGTGTCCCACGAGTATGAGGTGTGACTCTCGACCTGTTCGTGATCCCAGTGTTGGTCCAGAGGGTCGCCGTTGCGTTTGAGGAACAGGTCTTTGCGCAACACTTCCGGCGGTACGATAGGACTCCAGCCGAGCATCGGTTGCTGCCATCGGAACAGCGATCGGGGCTTCACTTCGACAATGGCTTCGGGAACAGTGTTCTGGTCGTTGCGGGCGAACCAAACCGGGAGTTTCCGGAACTGCATTTGGCTGTAATCAAGTTCAATGAACCGTTTGCGACGGGATTTGGGCCCCGGAGTCGACTGTGACGGACCCGATGGTGGGCTCGACAACAACGACGGCTGCTCTCTATCGGTGTCCGACTTCAGCGGTTTGAACCTTCCCTTACAATCCATGTCCTAATTGTTGAACAAATAATTTATTTATTTATTTGTTAATATATTTTGAGACAATTTGTTGCCTTCAATGGTATATTCATTACCCGTTTGTATCCGTGAAACTCGTAAACCAATTTGCGTGGATTGGCTGATACGGCGTGTCGTACGGGTTCGGACGCCCGGCCCTCCGTCGGGTCAACCATACCCTTGAAGTCTGTGTACAACGGAATGACCACTTCGTGCTTATCATTACTACTACTAGTGTGCGGGTCTCCCGCATGCCTGCCATCTCTACCGGAGTCGCCGCCGTTGTATTGGGGCGTGAATTCGGGACCCCATCCCTGTTCCTCCTCTTTAATGTTTGTAAACTTTTGGTGATTTATTTTTTGCTGAATTGACTGCAAATATGTGGCCAATTGTCTGATAGAGCCGTAGTTATATTGCGGCCAATCGAGTACAGCGTCGCCGAGTTGTGTCTCGTCGATCGCCGGCGAGTTGTGCTGCCCCTCATCGGTACCGGTGTTCTGGCCGTAGGTATTGAGCGGTAGATAATCGTGATCTGAAAAATATAGACATGGTGAGACTTATTTTGACTATTTTATCATTATAATTTAACAAATATTGTATTTTGTAAGCTTTAACTAGTTTATTTTAGCTTAATCAGTAATTAGTAATTATCAAATAAGTTTTATAGTTATAATTCATTGAAGTAAGTTTTGATCATGATGCAAAAAATATTTTTACAAATACCCAATGTATTGACAAGTTTATTAGTAAAAATAATTATAAATAGCATTTTTATAAATGGAATAAAGAGTTTGGAACGGAATGCCAAATGCTTAAATCTAGTTCAATCATTTACACGAATATATAGTTGGCAATTATAATATTACAGTTTTATCATCCAGGTATAATTATCTGATTTTTTTCATAGAGAATGTATTTATTATTAATGTATTTTTAATTATTATAAAATTGTTTTATAATTTATTTTAAATGTCATTCTCTTGTTATTAAAACATTTGAACATGTTAAATTAATAAAATTATTGATTATAAATACAATTTTAATAACTTTTTAAAAATAATTTATTTAATCTGCGAGTTTATTATACGTTATAAATCATTATTATTTCTAATCCATTGAATTACAAATGAAAAAATAATTATAATTTGTTTCTTAAAGTTAATATTTTTCTTTACATTTTGGTGTATTATATAATACAAGTTCTTTAAGGGATGAGAAGTTACTAAATAATCTGTTATTTTGTTAAATAAAAAACAAATGTTGAAAACAAATAGCATTTTAATGCGTTATTATTTTTATATTTAAAGAAAAATATTATTTTAATAAATTATTTTCAATTCATAATAAGAAAATCCGTTTTGAATGATATTAAAAATACCATAAAAATTATTGAAATACATATAACAATCTTGCTTTTTAAACACCTAGATTGTAATTAAGTCCATGTTTATTTTAAGAATAATACTATTACAATTGTAAGAAAACATGGTTATAATAGGAGATCATATTATATTTAAAATAATAAATATAATTTTAAAAGGGTTTACTTCAAGCGATTCATCTTAAAATTCAATTAATACAGAGAGAGAGAGAGAGAGAGAGATCATGAT